AAAGGATACATGATGTAGAGATGCTTTTCAGCCAGTTGCTCCACATAATTCTGTTTGCAATCATTCCTTCTGAGTCAAAATGGTGAATTTTCAGGGGCACCTGGGTGGCTCAGTCCCCTGGGTGACTCTTGATTTCAGCCCAGGTCATGATCTCACAGTTCATGAGTTTGAGCCTCCTGTTGGGCTCTGTGCCAACAGGGCAGAACCTGCTTGGGAGTCTCTCTCTCTCTCTCTCTCTCTCTCTCTCCCCCCTCCCACCGTCCCTCTCAAAAATAAATAAGCATTTAAAAAATTGTGAATTTTTAGAAATAAAATCAATTGTCTACAAGCAGTTGGATGGTTCTTGTGTCATTGCAAGAAACAGAACTAGTAAAGAAAACTGGAATATTTATCTGCTCAGAATTTTCCCATTTTTTATAGGCATCATTCTGCAAAGTTTGGTGTGAATTCTTGGTACAAAACAGGAAGATTTTGCTCTCAGTGGTGGGAAAAAGGGAGCCAGCCAATCATTCTCTTCATTGTACCTTCACTTCCTTGCTCCTGCTCACTGATACTTCCCAGGGATTCTCTGTAACCTTTAGATGGGCCCAGACTGAGTATTCTACTGAACTGTGAATATGTTAAAGATGCAAATCTGCGTTCTCTGTGTTTTAGGTTCTTAGCACTGTGCTTTGCACCTAAGAAATTGCGAGAACTCAAATTCATTGTCTCAACATTTAACAGATATTTTAAGTGCATTTTGACATGAGAAAGGACATTTTTGTACAAAAAAAAGGCACTATAATTTTATTGTTAGTAAATTTCTGTTTTACAGACCTCTGTAAATCCTCTTCTTCATAAAAGCAGTGAGAAAACTGTCAAAAAATGTGGCCATCAACTTTTCCATAACTCTGTAAATTAATCAGAGATTTGTAGTAACACATGAAGTAGTTTAATCAAGAAAAACAGCTGAATCTTGGTAGGAACAGTGGGATTTGTGGCTATAACTTGTCCTATTCTTGTTCTCCTTTCTCAGCTCCATGGTAGCATGATAAACCAACAGCCTGCAATAAAAAGCAACAACCTGGCAGCTACCAGGGTGGGCAGAAAGGAGTCTACATTCCTTTAAAGCCTCATTGTTAGAGAAATGTCATTATCTGACCTGTCTGGAGGCTCCATGGAAGACACCACTTGCAAGACTACTTTTATTTGACCTAATGTGGAGCTCATTCAGTATGAAAAGTCTTTTTCCTCAGATGTTGGTCAAATATATTTAGAGGCAATGTTTTAACCTCACAGGTGCCCAAGGTAGTGAGTAACAGTGGGGGCAAACAACAGATTAACCAAAAAGCCTAAAAGAAATAGCAATGAAATGATATGCCCATAGGGGTTTGGAAAAGCTCACATATTTCTGGGTATCTAGAAGACCACGCATCTGTATGGGGTTGTGAGCATGCCTAGTGTCATGGACTTAATTGCATCCTTTCAAAATTCTTATGTTGAAATACTAACTCCCAATATCTCAGAATGTGACTTTAATTAAAGATAATTAAGATAAAACAAGGTCATATGGGGCCCCAATCTATCACTGGTGATCTTCCAAGAAGAGGAGATTTTGACACAAACACATAGGAGAGGAAGAAACAGAGAGAAAATGGCCACCTGCAAGCCATGGAGAGAGACCTTCAAAGAAGATGAACCCTGCCAACAACTTGATCTAGGACCTTTAGCTCCAAAAACTATGAGAAAATTAATTGCTATTGTTTAAGGTACTTAGTCCAGGGAACCTTGTTAAGATAGCCCTAGCAAATTGATACACAGAGAGTTGTGTGCCTGATTGGGAAAGACCTGAGAAAACCTTAAGCTCTCCATCCTGGCTGGCCTTTAAGCCCTGTGCAAATGGGAAATAAAGGCTAAGACAGAGTTGTCAATTGCCTGACTCAGTGTTGAAGGTGTGGTCCCATAAACATAGCACTCCCAGAAAATTCTGGGAAATATATTGGTTTTAGGAATTTAGGAAAATCCTTGTCTACTTATTAGGTGATCCCTAAACCACTCAGATAGACTTTACAGAATTAGTTCAGAAAAGCCAATTAAAAAACAAAACAGAAACCAGCAACAATAATAAACCTTAGGGAGGAGGGATAATATAATTTACCGAGTTGCCATGTTATATCATCTAAAATGTCCAGTTTTCAGTGACAATATTATGAAACATTGAAAGAAAAAAAAGTGTGGCTCACACACAGGGGAAAAAAGGCAAGTGGTAGAATCTGCTTGAAGAAAGCAACAACAGTGGAATTACTGGACAAAGACTTTAAATCAACTATTTTAAATACTTTAATAAAAACTAAAGGAAACCATGTTCAAAGAAATCAGCTATTTTCACTCCTTTACTAAAAACTAAAGGGAACCATGTTCAAAGAACTAAAAAGGAAGTATGACAATAATATCTCCCCAAATACAGAATATACCAATGAAGAGACAGAGATTAAAAAAAAAGAAGAAGAAAAGAGTAACTCTGGAGTTGGGAAGTGGAATAACTTAATGCAAAACTCACTGGGAAAAAACTGCGAGTTTTCTCTGACTGCTACAACAAATTACCGCCAATAACAGCAACTTATTCTTCCCTGGTTCTGGAGGCCAGAAGCCTGAAGTCAGTTCACTGGGCCCAAAACAAGGTGTGAGTAGGACCAAGCACCCTCCAGAGGCCCTAGGGGAGAATCTGTTTCTTCCTTTTGCAGCTTCTATTAACTGCTGGCATTCCTTGGCTGTGGTCACATCACTCTAATCTCTGCTTCTATCTGTATGGTCACATTATGTTCCCTCTTCTGTCTAAAACCAAATACACCTCTGCCTCTCTCTTACAAGGATACACATCATTGCATAACCAAAATGATCTCTTCCATGCGGTGCAAAATCTGATGGTTGTCAGTCTCTCATACATAGTATTCTATTTATTTTGAAATGTGAAGGGCATTGTATTATTGGTTCAGATCCAGGTAAATTGGTGTATTTGTTGGTAGGAGAATGTAGAAGTTCATTTGCTGGTAACTAAAGGGAGGATTTTGCAAAAGAAATACAGGGAATGGTTTAGAAGAAGCAAACTGTAGTTATGAGAACTCTGACAATGCCTTTCTGCCTATGTTCTTGGGCCAGGGAAAATGAGCAAATGCTGCTTAAGATTACAGGTGAAAGTTACTTAAAACCAGGTGGTAGAGAAAGTTCTAGAGTTACTGAGAATGCAGTGGTTCTTTATGATATTATTATTACGATATTTATTATTATTATTATTATTATTATTATTACCTTAAAATAAACTTTCCAGAGATTATGGTGGCAGGAGTTCAACTGCCCAGTAATAATCAGAGATAAAGGGTCATAAAGTAATCTGGAGCCAAAAAATAGAGATAGGAGAAACTTCTGCCCCTGGAAAAAGCACGAAAGACAGAGAGAGAGCCGCCGGGCAGATAAGTGACTTTGAATGTCCAGAACTAGATAGAACCTTGTGAACTGCACAGTAGTTCATGGATGCTGTTAGCGGTGATCCTACGCTTTCAGAAATGTCACTGTCACATTACTATTGATATTGGATTTTAAAATTGCGCCTGTGTCTGTGGTACACAATTTAACAGTGATGGCTGTAAGACCCATTTTCACTAGTTATTAAAAATTCTGGCAGGAGGAACTTGATACTGCTGAGATCACGCTGTGACCACAAAGGTTCAGGGTCTGGTGATGCTCTCAGTTGAGTGACAGAGCCGGGAGGATATGATGACTGACAATCTCTGGGAAGTAACATCAGCTTAAATATATCAGTTTCAAACACATGTGTGCTCAGGAAGTCTGTCTCACTTCCCTGAGCAAAGCGCCGTGGGTGAAAAGAATCATTTGATCTTAGCAAGCAGGCCCAGGCTTTCCGGGGACCAGCCTAGGTAAATGAGGGGCTGGATGGGGTGCAGTGACATGTGTGAGCGTCTAGGATGAGCAGCTGCATAAGACAAACAAACAAAAAAATTTAATGAAAAAAAGTGCAGTAGCTCTTTACTTTGCCCAGACACACGTTCTCATTGTGTAATAGCCAGGTGCACTGACCACATTTATGGTAATTTCTCAATCTTAGTGCACAGATTTTAGATCTGAACAAAATGTACTGTAGAGGAATGACACAAGATGAAAGCAGAATGAATTTAACTGGCTATGTTACTAATATAGGAAGCATCTAATTGAAGAAAAGAGCATCATTGTTTAGTCTGTAGGACAGACGTTTTATTACCATTGAGAAGAATTTACAAAACTTGAAAGGTGATGTTTATCCCCTCAGTAAAAGCAGTAAGAATTGTACTTCACAGCTGAACTTTCATTTTTCTCTTATGCCTGACTCGCTAAGGATACTTTTTTTAAAAAATATTTTTTATGTTTATTTTTATTTTTGAGAGAGAGAGCGCATGCACGCACACACAAGTGGGGGGAGGGGTAGAGAGGGAGACAGAATCCAAAGCAGGCTCCAGGCTCCAAGCTGTCAGCACAGAGCTGGATGCGGGGCTCGCACCCACCCAATGTGAGATCATGACCTGAGCCAAAGTCGGTCGCTCAACGGACTGAGCTACCCAGGCGCCCCACTAAGCATACATTTGACTAAAAATTACAGTTAGAAGTCAAACTTGGGTAAACACAAATTTTGAAAGCCTAATAATTTGGCAGCGGCTTTGTTTCCAGACTTAAAATAATGTCACCTCTGACCTTTTGGGCTGAATACATGTGAAACCTTATAAATACTTGACTGTAGATCTGTCTATGGGTCTATAGGTCTATAAAGACCT